TGTAGAATATTATTTTGTAGTTTACCCTTTTCACTTAACATGTTAACATGTCATGGGCCAAGTCCAAGTCTGTCCATCTGTCTCTGCTGATAGATGATAGATACGTAGGTAGATAGATAGATAACCTATGTTTCTCTTAGTACTCTTAGTAGTCATTGTCCTATTGAGATATTCACAGATTTTCAGCTTTTTGTTATTATATAAAAAGCTGCAATAAATATTCTTGGACATGCATCTTTATGTGCTGATACTTTTAATTGTGTCAAATTCTCTTAAACAGGAGACCTCGGTCAAAGAATATGTATGTTTTTGACTTAGCTTTTTAAACTTAGCTTTTTGAAAAGTATATATTGATATCCTCTCAGTATAGCTTTGTGGTCCCGAAAGCGGGTATTGTTTCTGGTGGTGCGTCCCTGGTGTGAGTTCCTTGCCGGGGACAGCCCCTGTCCTCTGGGCAGAGGAAGACAGTGGCCAGTGAGCATGTTTTCTAGGATGGGATAATTCAGCCAGACAGCAGGTATTATAGAAATCTGCACATTTCCGAGCGCAGGCAAGACCTGTCCCCTTCTTGACTTTAGTTACACAGGACGAGGGTAGAGTCTGTACTTAATAAATTTCCTGAAAGTCCATGATCATTACACTGTTTGCACTGGGAAATCCTCACTTCTCAGATACAGAATTGTGGTCATAAAAGTGGTCCCAGCCCTTTAACTGGCCCCCAGGTTGCAGTAAGGTGGCCGGAGGAGATGCCCCTGCAGACAGCGTCTGCACGTCCTCTCTTCGTTGCACTCAGTGGTTCCTGCTCGAGGTTTCACTGGCCGTCGGGGGGATTCTTGTGGGCCAATTAGAATGATGCAGCCCTTCCTATTTGAGGTGTGCTTGCTGCAGCGTGAGGCTGGAGGATGTAATCATTTAACCCGCAGGGCCTCCCACAGACATCCGTGTCTGCCGGGGACCCACCTGCCGATCACAGGTGATAATGTTCGAGATTAGATCGGGGCAGGGAACTGCCAGAGGCAGGTTATCCGTAGAATGTGTATCCATAGAACGCTTCTTCCCAGCTCAGAAAATGTTCCCCATGTCGACACATGTATGTTGTCAGGCACAAGCTCAGCACGCGTGTCTGAAACGACACAGCTCAGTCCGGTGCCCGTGATGTAAAACGTGTCCCGTCTCCGCGCCTCGTTGTGAATGTTGCCGGGGGAGCCATGACACGCTCTGGCGGCGCCTGTCCGGGGTATATGGGTGACTGTTCTGTGTTGCCGACCGCTGCAGCTTAACGCCATGGCGAACCGCGCGGCCGGGAAAGGCTATGAGAATGAAGACAATTATTCCAACATCAAGTTCCAGTTCATCGGGATAGAGAACATCCACGTCATGAGGAACAGTCTGCAGAAGATGCTGGAAGGTAAGCCGCTGCCTGTGCACAGCGTTGGGGGAAAAACAAAATGCAGTTGAATGTTTCTGTGCCAAAACGGAAGAAGGTAGTCTTTGCATGTTAAAATTGTGTCCCTACAAGGATGCTGTTTACACCGGTGGGTTACGTTGGGAAGCATATCCTATTGCAGTGACTTTGTTTTAGTGTTTGTGTCACGGGGACTTGGTTAGCAGGCAGGTACTCTCCCTCCTGATAGTAGTTGATTCACATAAAGCAGCCCTACGGTTAAAGCAACAGCCCACGGCTCAGGAACAGAGAAGCGGTCCATACGCTGAATCCGACTGGCTGACTGACGGGCCCATAGATGGGAGGATGCTGGGGCGTCCCGATCCCCGTTCTAAACAGCAGCACCCCCTGGCAACGTCCCACAGCTAAACGACACCCACTCACCCCACGGTCACAGGCACCAGGAGACACACACAGACGACCTACAGTAAAGCACATTACGGCGGCAGATTATGTAACACAGAAGAATCATTCATGTGGCCAAACAAGCCATAAGCTGATTAGCAGAAATTCTGCATATCAAGCAAAACCAGCTGCGTTTACTGCCCGGGCTCCTTGTGAGCGTCAAGGCCCGAGGAGGAATCTGTTGGCACAGTCAGCATTTCTGGTTCTCGTGGGAACCGGACCGAGTGCCAAGGGAGGGTGTGTGTCGTGGGGACCCGGCAAGGCTGTGCGGGCTGTGTGGGCCCTTGTGGGGAAGCCCGGGAGGTGGCGCTGAGCACTGGGCCGCGGCTGTCTGAGCAGGACATGTGGTATCTGGGACGAAGAAAGTGCTGGACGGTTATTTCCAGGATGCATTTGCTCTTGGCGACTTAGGCGGCTCTCTGCTTCATTGGGACAGGCGGGTGGAGTGAGGCCGAAGGGTGGGGCTGGAGAGACGTGGATGGCACACAGGCCTGACTTCCATCCTCTCCTGGATTCCTTGGGTCCTCTCATCATGGTGAGACCTTGGGCCATCTCTGGGGCTGCGTTGCCAGCTGGGAAAGGAGAGGGTGGGACTGATTTCCAGGGGCCCTGCCGGCCGTGACTCCTGTGAATCTCCAGTGGGATGCCCCTGTTTGCAGACATTTTAACACTGAGAGTTTGAATGGTTAGAACTTCCTTCCTGCATCGGGAAACATCCCAGCCCCAGAGCCATCTCACCCGACTTCCCCAGGGAATTCGGGGAATCCCCATGTCAGGGCACGGTGACCTGGGCACGGCCCCCTGAGCTTCGCAGACCTCTGGGCAGCTTGGCTGTCCCTGTGCTTTTAAGGTTCAAAAATTGGACTTGGTTGGCCCTGCCGTCGAAAGGGTGGTCTAACTGTAGTATGAAGAGCGTTCGTCATTATCAGGTCATTGCTGTTCTTCATATGTTTCTTGTTAAAAATTTTTATTTATTGACTTTTTAGAGAGAGAGTGGTAGGGAGGGAGGGAAGGAAGGAGGGAGAGAGAGAGGGAGAAAGAGAGAGAGAGAAACATTGATTTGTTGTCCCGCTCACGTGTGCATTCATTGGTTGGTTCTGGTGTTGCCCTGACCGGGGATGGAGCCTGCAGCCTTGGGGTGTCAGGACGACCCTCTAACCATGGAGCCACCAGGGCCTCCTTTCTGTTCTTCCTCGAGTGGTTTCATAAGCTGCCTTTTGAGAACTGACATTCTCGTTACAGAAAGTCGCTCCTAAGCGTGCATGATGTACCATGTTGGCTTTCCCTTTTAAACGAGCGATTTTTGGTTTCTTATTAGGAGCCTCTTCTCTAATGCCCAGGGCCCGGCTCGCTCAAGGACGTGCTCACTGAGCGGTTCCAGAGGGCAGCCTGCTCTCTGTTTCGTAAGGGACCGCGGCCCCGCATCACGTCTCCGCCCCGTGTCACTGCAGGGAGCAAGGACGGCTCTCTGGATGCCTGTCAGGGACTCCACCAGTGTTTGTCCATCTGTTTCCCCGAGTGAATGATAAACCGCCGTGGAGCCTCAGCTGCCGGCGTGATGCAATCTGCCACCTCGGGAGGCTCCCGCCTTCAGACAGCGGCCTTGGCCCCCGGACCCCACAGCTGGTCCGGGTGGGAAGAGAAGTAGCATTTCACTCCTGGTCAGGTCCCCCCACCCCCAACCCAAACCACTGTTACTGGTGTTAGCAGGACAGGTTCTTTGGAACCGAGGACTGTTTGCATCCCGGCTGCAAGCCAGCTGTCTGTGAGCAAGAGCTGCAGGCGGTTTCACCAGAATCTGAAATCTGGACCAAGTGTGTGTCCTGTGTAAGTCCCTCCTAGAGCCGCTTGAACTTTGACGTTTGACCTATGAGTTCTATGCGCACCTCCCAATGCAACAGTAATGATGCCGTCTGGGTATGCACAGAGTTTGTAACTTACTACGTGCTTTCCACAGGGGCTTCCTTTTTGATCAGATAGATCATGGTTTCTCCCTCAAATGAGAAAAGGATAGAGAACAGCCAGTAGAAGGACCTGGGACAGGCCCTTCCCAAGGCTGAGGAAATGGTCATCCGACGGGACTGGATTAAAATCTCCTGGGCATCCTTGGCGTTGGGAGGAAATCAGCCGGGAGGCCGGGAGGGCTGTACATAGAACAGCTTCACATCAGGGCTCCTGGAGGTTGTGCTACCCTGAACACCTGTGTGTAAACCGGTGTTCAAGATCAGCAGGTGTTTACGGGGACGACAATGGCATCAACTTCGTTTTCCAGTCAACACGCTTGTCTTTTGGGTGTTGCCTAGAAAATTGCACTTCTCCCCACCACAGTTTCATGCCTGGACTCCAGAATGTCGGTTAATATTGGTGGCCATTGTGTTGTTCTGTGTAACTGACCACTCCTTCTTTGACTTACTCATTTAGCTGAAAATTGAGCAACTGGTATGTCCTCAGTTTTTCATGGAGACGCTCGTATTTGATTTTCACTGCGATCGTGTGCAGTGTATGGCGTTGTCTGCTGTTTATACGTGAGGAGCCGGAGTCTCAGAAACATTACACACCTCAGGTTAAGGTAATTTTTAAGAGAGGAATGAGTAAGTTGAAACAAATAAACGTATAGGAAGACATTTAAACTGGCTCTGGTAATTTAAAAAACAGAACTTAAGACTTCCAGTTACCATTTTTTACTTAGTTTTTAAAAATGAAAATATGTGATAAAACTGCTACTTCAGGTCTTTCTGGTGTCATTCAATTGGCTTAAAGAAACAATATATTCTGTTTACAGAGACATACTGTATTTTCACCAGATTGCCTCCCCTTGGGGACTAATCCAAAATATGGCTTTAAAAAAAGAAAACCATTACATGCCTATTTTTATAATAGTGTTTTATTTATAATGGTAGAAGTTTGGAGGCCACAGGAATGTCTAATAATAGTAAACAGATTAAATAATTTTGCTCCATCTCTTGATAGAAAATTTTACATCCATTAAAAACGATAAATGTTAAGAATATATGTGTACATTGTAACATGGGAGAATGTGGATAATGTAAGTGAAAAACTCAGGCTGTAAAATTGTACGACTGCTCTGATCTACTCCATGGTAAATCAGAAAGACTGGGAGAGAATGCCCAGCAAAACAACTGTATCAGCATGGAAGGATGACAGGCCAGTTTTTAGTTTTTCCTTCTTTACTTATAAAATACTCTCTATGGTTGGCTTATTACATTAAAAAACAAACAAACACAGTACACATTATCTCCCAGGTTCTGTGAGTGAGGAGTCTGGGCATGTCTCATACAGGTTTTCCACTTCAAATTCTCCCTTTGGCGAATCAGATTCACCCTTTTGCAAAGCAAATTTGCCTGCAAAAGGGTGAATTTGAAGAGGAAAACCTGTATGTAAGAGGGAACCAGGGTTCCCCTGCCCAGGGCCTTACAGGCTGCAGTTAAGGTGTCGGCCAGGCTGCGTCGTCATCCGGACACTTGGATGAGGAAGGATCTGCTTCCAGGCTCCTTCGGGATGTTGGCAGGATTCCAGTGAGGGTCCGGAGCTTGGTGGCTGTCGGGGGTGGGGGCACCCGTAGGTCCCAGGCTGCTGTTCGCTGCGGTGCACTGCCAGAGCTGTCCACAGCACGCAGGCTGTCTTCAAGGCCTGCTTCTCTCTGGCTAGAGTTTGGTATACGACATTTAAAAAGACGTTTATATTCAGTTTTTAGGAACACATCCTCCCCAGGATGACATCACAAAGCAGAACTCGAGCCTCGTACTTTCCGTCACGTTATGGTGACCTTGGCTGATGTGTTGCTTCGATATTGCACAGGCTCACAAATACCCACCCTTCTGGGCAGGGAGCCCAGAGCGAGGTGGGGCCTGACTAGCACCCACTGCAGGGGCCTCCCAGGACAAACTGGAAGTTCTCTGCCTTCACCCACATGTAGGTCATGTTACGTTTATGGAGTGATTTACTGATTGATCCGTTTGATATTTTAAGGTATATTTACTCAAGTAATCTTTATTGCAGTCTTCTTAATATTCCCATTTTACAGATGAGGAAATGGAGGCCAAGAGGCTAAGGAACTTGTGAAGCTCACGACAGTAAGTGGTAGAACCAAGGTTTTCACCTGATTGGTGTGAATCCAGACGCCACACTCTTCAGCGTTTGGCTTTATGGCCTCCCCAGGTAGTGGGCTGGGTAGGAGGGACCCTGACCCACCTGTTTAAGATCTGCGTTTGGGTTCTTGCCCTCGTCTCGGAGTAAATGTGGTCACGCCTCATTTCCTATATTTGGAAAACAATGTAAGGAGTATAGCAATGCTGTCTGACTCACAGACTTATTACAAAGTTTCCTCGCAAACCAAAAAGTGCTCTCCTATGGAGGGCGCATTATGCTTTCTCTTGGGAAGCAATGCTGCACTTTAAAACAAGCCCTGAACGCAGTGGGAGAGGGAATGGCTGTAGCTTAGTTCAGCCAGGCACGCATCTGGTAGGTCTGTGCTTTCCTGCGGGGGGTGGGGGGGGGGTGGGGTGGTGGGGGGCGACTCTCCTTAATTCCTTCATTCAAGAGACATGGGGGAAACAGCACGTTCCCCAGGCATGGAAGTGCTTGCCTTGTGACATGGCCCGTGTCCACTCAGCACAAGTTCTGAAAAGAAAATGTAATAAACCACATGTCAGCCGTGTGGGTGGTTCCTCGGCCAGTTGTTGGCAGAGAGGCCGGCCTCGGCCTGCTGACCATCAGGTGGGAGTGGGTCCTGAGCCAGGAACAGAGGCCCAGTGTCCACTCGGCCACGGGGGCCGTCCCACAGGGAAGGCGCCAGGCAGCCCCGATGGAAAGACAAGCAGATCCGATGGAGAGATTGAGCTGCTTCTGTCCTGTCCCCTGGCATGGTGGGCGCTGACTGTGGAGAAGGTTTTGTGGCCCCGCGATCGTATCTGACCCGTGCTTCCGTGTGACGGAAGCCCGATTGTTCCGAACAGCCATTGGATGTAGACGCGGTGGGTGAAGGCAGAGAACTTCCAGTTCGTCCTGGGAGGCCCCCTGCAGTGGGTGCTAGTCAGGCCCCACCTCGCTCTGGGCTCCCTGCCAGCTTGTGGGTGCACCAAGGTCTGGAAGGGGGTCCCTGACATACCCAGCTTCAAGGTTGCCATGACACATTTCTCTCTGCGCAGAGAGTCAGGGTTGTGGCTGTCAGTTCGGATGTCCATTGTGTTTGATACTTTCTTCATCTCTTGACTTTGTGTGAGGCGATGTCTCGTGCTACCTGGAAGAAATGGAGGAGTTCAACCCACTGTAGATCATTCCTATTTAAGTTTTTCATTTTACAGTGTTTCTTTATGTTACTACAAGTTTATACCATGAAATTCTACCAGAGATGAGCTCATGAAAGGTTATAGAAGGGTTCATCTTTTTAAGTTCTCTGTTTTTTGACTTTTGACCATTGTTAATTTCCTCAGATTACTGACCTATTAGATGAGACAGCCAATAGGACCTGGCTGAACCTCTGGTCATTACCTTACAGACTTAGCAACATGGCGTGGGCTGCCACGCAGAAAACCCACCTTCCCATGAGAGTGGAACTAGAGAGCTTCACATAGCAGTAACAGTTGTAAGACTTTTTTAAAAAAATATATTTTATTGATTTTTTACAGAGAAGAAGGGAGAGGGATAGAGAGCCAGAAACATCGATGAGAGAGAAACATTGATCAGCTGTCTCCTGCACACACACACACACACACACACACACCCACTGGGGATGTGCCCACAACCAAGGTACATGCCCCTGACCAGAATCAAACCTGGGACCCTTTAGTCCGCAGACCGATGCTCTATCCACTGAGCCGAACCGGTCAGGGCAGTTGTAAGACTTTTTAATGAGTGTTCTGCTAGCCAGGGGTGGGGAACCTTTTCTCTGCCAAGGGCCATTTGGATATTTATAACATCATTCACTTAATATATTTCACTTAACACATTGCGAGAATTCTCACTCCATGTTACATACTGTTTTACAAAGTATCATACTTTAAAAAGATATTAGCTTGTAAGAACATGTAATACATAACTTCAAAATGCAACGGGTAATTTTAAAGTGTGCCTTTAACATTTACGTAAAACATTTTTTGTACCCGTTCAATGAAAATTTATCTGGCCACTTGGTAGAGCTAGCAATAACACTGCTGGTCCGCAATGTGTTAATATAAATGTATGAATTTATGTTGCTATGAAAAAAGCTTCTAGAATTATTGAATTTCGAGTCCCACCTGCGGTTGCCTTGGCAGGGCCAGACCAAATGATTTCGAGGGCCTTATAAGGCCCACAGGCTGGATGTCCCCCACCTGTGCTAGACCAACAGTTCTGTCCTATCAGGATTCACTTCGGCCTGGAATCGAACCGTGACCTCCTGGATCATAGGTCGATGCTCAACCACTGAGCCACACAGGCCAGGCCATCAATAATCTCGTAAGCACCGAGGGACAGAGGAGAGAGCATGCCCGTTTGGATGTATGTGCTGCGGAATGGATTCCAGTGCAGTTATTTACTGGCTGCGTAACCATGGATGACTTAGTAACTCTTTTAAGCCATCCTTTCCAATTGGAAAATTGGGAGTAAATAATACCCTGTGTGGTAGATAATTCATGAGACTACCAGGCACAATGCCTGCTTACAGTGAGTACAATAGTAACTAGGAGCTACCATAGTTATGTCAGACATTCATCTTCCCATCAGACAGTGACTGAGTCTATATGCTAAGTCTGTCATTAGGTAGAAGAATGCTTCATTCATTAATACAAAGTGAAGCAACTGGTTTTGCTAGAGCAACAGTCAGGCAGGAAGAGAAGGTGGCGTTTGCTAACAGTGAGGCCACCGGGGGCCATCCCTGGTCAGTGAGGTGGTTGAACGTTTTCACTGTGTGTCAGAGCTGCAGACTTCATCTCCCGGTGACACTGTCCAAGGAGAGGACAGCAACAAACAACGCGATCGAATGAGAACAGTGGCTGTTTTTATCCTGGTTCTGCTTTATCTTGATGTTCACCGGGGCCATCCAAAGATGCATTGAAAAACGTACCCCTTCGGAATGATTGCTTTATGTTTTGTTCATTGGGACAGCTAGTTTGGGATACCTGGGACATTGACGAAAGGGGTGCTTAGAAGAAAGTGTCTCCCGTGAGACTAAAGATAGACGCGATTAATCATGGTGACAAGGTGAGCTGTGTTTCCCCGCGGCGGGGGTTGGGATTTAGCAGTTTCGTACTTGCTTGCCAGTGACCAGAGTCTGAGCTTTGACGAGCGTGTGGGTCTGGCAGCGGTCCAGCTGATGTGCTGGCATGGGGTGAGTCCCTCCTGCTCCGTCCCAACATCTTCATCCTCCGTGATTCCGGGCCTTCCCTCCAGAGGCTGCCACTGATATTTTATACCCACCCAACTCCTAGCCTCTCAACGTGCTCTCCCAGTCCAGACGTCTCTGTTCCATCTGCTTCAAGTTTCCCATTGACTCCGTCATTCCTTACGCCCTGCCTGCAACTCAGCTCCTGGTCATCCTCGCTCAGTTTGTGTACTGACTTAATTATTCTCTGTTTGTGGTGAAAATACTGTGGAAATCGGAGTCGGGGGAACTCGATCGCTATCACAGTGCCCCTGCAGGGCCCTGTGTCTGAGCCCTTGCCTCCTCTGTACCCTGAGATAACTTTGCACTGTAGGTGGGAGGGTGTGGGGGGTCACTCAGAGGAAACCAGCAAGACCCAAGCCTCCCATATGGCAAATGTAATATAAATGGACACGTGTATTTTTTAATTTATTTGCTGCAAACCGTGTCTTTAGAATCAGGATTCATGTGCAAACCTAATACATGCTAATAGAGCATTGTTCTGTGAACCTGCTGCTTCCCGTGGTTCTCAACCTTCCCAATGCCGCGACCCTTTAATTCAGTTCCTCATGTTGTGGTGACCCCCAACCATGAAATTATTTTCGTTGCCACTTCATAACTGTAATTTTGCTACTGTTATGAATCGTCATGTAAATTATCTGATATGCAGGGTGTATTTTCAGGGGTCGCGACCCACAGGTTGAGAACCACTGCAGGCCAGTGGTAATTAGAACATGTGTGTGTATGCATGCATTTACACACAGACGTGTTTATTAGTAGCTGTTACACACTGTGCACGTGTGTGTGTATTTTCTATGCTACTGACTCAGGCAGTGCTAGCAAACGAATAAGAATGTAGGCTTGACTGAACCTTACCATTCTATGTTACTGTCAAATTCTTTAAAAGGAAACAAGGTTACACAAAAATGGCCTCATGGCATTCTTGTATTCAGATTCCAGAAAACAGCAGCATGAACAAAGCTGGTGTTGTTTTAAGGAATAATCACCAAAAGGTCTCTAAACAGGGGGCCCATGTGGGCTGGGAAGGGCAGGGACAAGAACACCACTCACATCAATCACAGTTGCTGCTACATCTTAATCCTCCGAGATCCCCAGCCAGTTCACTGCAGGGCTCAGACGTTTCTTCTGTCACCATGTGGGCAAGTAAAACACGGGGCAGGGGGGGCTGTCACCCAGGCCTCACCACGCATTGCCATTTTTCACGGGCATAATGAAGTCCTCTTTGCATGGTTCCACCTGCGAGGATGGTCAGTGAAGGGAGACTGCTATCGTTTTGCTGGTGCTTTGAAGACCATTTCACTTGATTCTAAAATGTGAAGGGGACAAACCTCACTTCAGCAGATGCCCTGGCGGTGTGCCACGCCTGGGAATGAAGGGAGGGCCAGGTACATGCCAGCTCTGACCTTAGGAGACAAGACAGACATCCCCAGGGTTCGAATAGGGACTGTCCCTCCCTGACCCCCGACACCTGTAGAGGAAGGAACGCGACTGGTGCAGGAAATTCCTAAGGACAATCGTCAGGCTTATTTCCTTCCAAGTAAGTTTCATATTTCCTCGGTTTCCTGAATAACACACGTATATTTTAGTGTTGCCTATACATGTGTACGGAATAAGTTGCCCTGTTTTGTAAAACAAACATTGGGCCTGGGCATGAAGCACAGCCCTCTCATCGGGGGCATATGCCTGTGATGTCAGCTGAAATGGACTTCGTTCAGCAAAATGGTTTGTAAATATTGGTTTGGGTTTGGCAACAAGAGTGAAAAATCAGTATTTCTGCCTTATCCTGAGTTTATCCAAACAAACCCGCCAGCTTTATATTTAAAAACTGAAGCACTAATTGTTCCAGTCTCAAGTGTACCCCCATCTGTCCCTGCGTATTAGTCACCTGCAGAGCTGTTTGCTGTTAACGCTCCACTCAGCATTTCGGACACAAACTCCCCCTCCGTGGTGACCTCACTTGAAAACCCAGCGAGGTTATTTTACTTCTTGTCACAGTTTCCGTGTTCCAGAAAGCAGAAGTGTTGAACCAGGAGCCGCTCGCAGTGTGGGAAGAGAGGGGGTGCTGTGGGCCCCGTGGCCGGCCTGGGACATTCTCTCCGGCAGAAAGTGTTAGGCCAGTGATGGCGAACCTATGACACGCGTGTCAGAGGTGACACGAGCTCAAAAGGTTCGCCATCACTGTGTTAGGGGCTTGTTCTGCGAGCCGACACCGAGGCTTCCTTTTGGCAGGGCCGGCTCCCGGTTAGGCGGGAAGCCTGGTGTCTTTATGTCTAACTTGCCATCATTTCCCTGCCTTGTGGGGAAGCAGCGGTGAACAGGATCATTTGTTCTTGGGCTGAGCTAAGAGCTTAGCTGCCAGATACCCTCAGGCTCCCCGGTTGTGTTTTAAGAGGCGCGAATGCCAACTCACCGAGCCCTGTCCTAACCATAACCACCGGGAAGTTTGTCCTGGTGGTGTTTGCCAGAGAAGGTTCCTGTGGACGATGGGCGGGGCCAGTGGAGCCCTGAGGCTGCCCGTGGTGGAATGTGTATGCTTAGGATTTTTTTTTTTAAATATATTTTATTGATTTCTTACAGAGAGGAAGGGAGAGGGATAGAGAGTCAGAAACATCGATGAGAGAGAAGCATCGATCAGCTGCCTCCTGAACACCCCCCACTGGGGATGTGCCCGCAGCCCAGGTACATGCCCTTGACCGGAATCGAACCCGCGACCCTTGAGTCCGCAGGCCGACGCTCCATCCACTGAGCCAAACCGGCCAGGGCTGTGTGCTTAGGATTAAGCACGGGTCATGGCCTGGGGTTAGGCAGAAAGACCAACAGCAGGCTGGTGGTATTTGCCAGAGAAGGTTCCTGTGGACGATGGGCGGGGCCAGTGGAG